ACTGACCGCACTGGTGAGACTGCCCTCCACCTGGCAGCCCGTTATGCTCGGTCTGATGCTGCCAAACGTCTCCTAGAGTCCAGTGCTGATGCAAATGTCCAAGACAACATGGGCCGTACACCTCTTCATGCTGCAGTGGCTGCCGATGCACAAGGAGTTTTTCAGGTAACTTCAAAATCATTTACAATTTTACAATGTGTGTAAAACTTAAATTATAGAATAGTATTTTACACATTAAAGGAAAGAAAGTTAGTGACAATACTTATTTTCTATACAGATTTTGATCAGAAACCGTGCCACTGATCTTGATGCACGAATGAATGATGGAACAACTCCACTGATTCTTGCTGCACGATTGGCAGTTGAAGGCATGGTTGATGAACTTATAAACTGCCATGCTGATGCCAATGCCACAGATGATTCTGGTAGTTATTGTTTATATGATTTTGATATGATATGAATATGATCCTTTTTACTACTGTTTGCATACATTTTGATTAATTCTCTGCCTCCCTTATAGGTAAATCTGCTCTTCATTGGGCTGCCGCCGTCAATAATGTTGAGGCTGCTGTGATGCTGTTGAAAAATGGTGCCAACAAAGACATGCAAGACAACAAGGTGCATGTGATAAACCAATTAATTTCTTTTAAATAAATAACTGTAGAAAAACATATTTATTATAACATGTATCTCTGGAATTTTTTAGGAAGAAACACCATTGTTCCTTGCAGCAAGAGAAGGAAGTTATGAGACAGCAAAAGTTCTTCTGGAACATTTTGCAAATCGTGAGATCACTGATCATCTTGACCAGCTGCCTAAAGATATAGCACAGGAGCGCATGCATCATGATATTGTCCGCCTGCTGGATGAGTACAATGTGGTTAGGAGCCCCGGTCTTCACACTGCACCTTTGAGCAATGCCAGCTTGTCCCCACCTCTTTGTTCTCCCAATGACTATTTAGGTAATCTTAAGCCAAATATTTCTGGCAAAAAGGTTCGTAAAATTAACAATGGTAAAGGAGGCAAAGATGTAAATAAGGACAACAGACTAAAGAAGAAGAAATCTGTGGATGGGAAGGGTAATTTGCTTGATACATCTGCAGTGCTCTCCAGTAGAATCTCTTGAGTCTCCAAATGCGTACCTATCTGATGTTGCATCCCCTCCCATGACGTCACCCTTCCAACAGTCACCTCCCCTCTCACTCAGTCAACTACAAGGCACTGGCGAGAGTAATCTCAGTCAGATGGGCTTATCCTTTGACACTAACCCACCACGTCTCTCTCATATGCCTGTGTCAAGTCCCAACAGTCAAGGCACAACAGCTATTGGAGGCAGCAGAGCACAGTGTGACTGGCTTTCCAGGATGCATCCAGGTGTGGGTCAACAAGGAGGGTTCACTCAGTCCCCACCAATGCCCCATAATATGATGAGTGCATTGCATGGAGTCAACACAGCAACACTGTCTCAAATTATGGGCTATCAGGGTCTGCAGACCAGTCATCTTGGCTCATCTGTACACACCATGCACCCAGCTCAATTACGACAGCTTCAGCATCAGAACTCCAACTCCACCACAATTCATCCACCCAGCCAAAACTTTCCTGGCCTTGAGCTGACAACCCCTGATGTGCCAAACAATGCCCCAGGACGCTCTATGACCATGCATACTGTAATGCCTCAAGAGACGCAAATTCTTGGCACACAGTTTCTCACCCCTCCTTCCCAGCACAGCTATTCTGGCCCTATGGACAACACGCCTAATCACCAACTACAGGTGCCTGACCACCCATTCTTAACCCCTTCCCCTGGTTCTCCTGACCAGTGGTCCAGCTGCTCTCCACATTCCAACATGTCTGACTGGTCTGAGGGCATCTCTAGCCCACCTACAAGTATCCATTCACAAATGAATTTGATATCAGAACAATTTAAATAGACTGAACTTTATACAGAGTGACCATTTCACAATTTGTTCTATTTTTCTGCATTGTTTTATTCTTATGAGAAGAACAGTTTTAGTATTTGTATTTATTTATGTGGTTTTGGGATCTGGATTATAAAGATGTTTTTATATTTATGCTTTTTATATTTTCTTTTTGACTTTTTGTGCAAGACAGTAGTAGCAGACGTGTATATCATAAAAAAGCCTAATAGATGTGTACACATGCTATTTATTTGAACTGAATGTGTTTTTATATTCACTGGAATATGTTGACCATCAGTCTTCACATGTAATTTTTGTATAGTTTTTTTTTTTTTTTTTTTTTTTAATTACAGTATTAATTCTATTCTATGGCCTCATCTGTCGAAGAGGGAGCCTTTGTTACAGAACTGCATTTCACTAAGTCTTATCACTGTCTTGTGTTAGCAAAAATAAGTGTATTAAGTACACCTTGCATAATACTATCTTTCTACTGGAGATCTGGGACCTTTTTGTCACAAAGCTGTGCACATAAGCCATTGCTTTTTCAAGAGTAGATGTGCATCTGAATTGTCACTGATTCAGGTTGAACCTGTTGCGTATAACTGCAGGCACATTGTTCTTTGAAATCTTACATTTGCCACAGCCTAAAATAGTGCCAGTTTTGTTTTTCTTAAGAAAAACAATGTTATTTGTGAAATCTGATGTAAAATGTCTTCAAGATGAAGAATGTTTTGAGAGAAATGGGGACCTCTTTTGTCTTTAAATGGGATTGCTTGCACTTTGTAATGAGTGTTTTAAGATGTATGTCACGTTTTATAAACTATTTCAGAGTTAAGATTTTACAAAAAAGATGTAATTCAAAATCAATATTCATGCAAAGTTGTAGTTTGCAAAGAAGTATTTCCTGCTGAAGTGTCTTGTAAAATGTCTTCACAAAGTTGACTTAATAAAGTCTTTTAAAGCAGTTGTCATCGCATTCAGTATCATGCATGTGTACAAAAAATGTTATCAAAAGCCTGGTCTAAGAGCATTAATTATCATATAAAACTAAATTTAAGCTTCTAGGTTTATTGCATGCTAAATAATAAATAATATGCAAACAACTATAGGGCTGAGCTGCTGTGGTATAACACAACTGCGGAGATTATTTTTGTTTTGTCTACAAGAATGCCAAAAACACTTTGATCAAAAGTTTCAGCACATGCACTTCACCATGTGGGTTTAATCCATGTGTCTCATAGTTGTCTGAATTCAGTTTAATAACAAGCGCAATCAGAGAGAGCAGCCTGGTCATCCATGAGGCATCGGTGGGGGCAGTTGATCACCACGGAAGCATCTTATGAGGAGCCCAGCCCATATTACATGATCGTTATATCCACAATGCAATGTGTCTAGCTGTATGCCCATGAACATTTGTGTGATATTGGTCACACATGAGTGTGTCTGTGTTTACTACTGTGTAACAAAAATGTAATTTTTCATGAGTTCTGTATATGTTAGTTCTGTGACTGTAGATCAGTGTGTTGTGTTTCACCAGAAAAAGAAGAAATGGAAATTATTTTCATTCCAATTAGAATTTTAACGGCATACACTGAAAGAGAAAGGAACTGTTATAATTATCTCGACAACTATGAATATTTTACTGTACAAATGCATAGAATTGTAAATAGATACTAATTTTTCTGATATTTTGAGACCACTTCCGTTGTTCTGGCTTGATCCTTGGCGGAGTTATGACCAAAAACGCATATTTGACCTTGGTTACCTTGATCTTCAAGTGACCTTGACTGGTTTCAACCTGTAGCATCCAGTGTACCCCGGTTATGTGTGTGCCAACTTGTGTGATGATTGTGTAAATATTGTAGCCCGCAGATGGTTCAGAAATTGCCGAAATTGCCTATCCTTTATAAAGGCGTGACCTTTCAATTGACCCGTGTGACTTCAAATGACCTCGGATCGTCACCAAACTTTTTTTTATTTTTTTGCGGCATCGGGCCACGGGGGGCTTGACTCACGTACCAAATTTGGTGACAATCGGTCCCCCCCCATGGATCTCATATTAAGACCGCCTTCAGTTAATACTTTTCGTTTTATTCGCTGGCTTTGACTGACTTATAGATTTTAATTAATATTTTTCTGATGCAAATTTTTGTGCTTTTTATGTTTCTTTATTGACTTGCCTAATTTATTTATTTATTTTATACTTTTATTCAATTAGTTAATTTACCGATTCTGTGCAGCACTTTGAAGACATAGTAAACTTTACACAGTTATACATCTCTTAAAGTTACTATTGCACAAAAATACAGTCACGTGTTGCTTAAATCTACAAATATTTACCTAGAAAATATAGAATTGACATTCGGGAAAAACATTTTGGTAGCAGCGTCCCCTAGAGTATAGAGACGGTGTTACAGCAGGAGTGAATAGGCGTCGCCATAGTGACAGGCTCCTGTAATGTGCAGAGTGACAGGGGCTGTCCCGACTGCGCTGGAGGCATTCACATACACAACACATCTACAAATATTGTAATTTTCACTTCGCTTTGTTTTTCTCGAAAGCTGAGTTTTGGAAGGTTGCCAGAGAGATTGTATTTTTACTGGATTATGGACCGTGAGCAACCGCTTTATCCTGGGAGGCCGAAGATTTGTGTTGTTAGACGGGGAGGAGTCAGGCAATGCACCGCTAATGTGTACTGAAGCCCCGCTGCCAGGCCATGAACAATGTTGGCGATTTAACAAAAACGCTCCCGAAGCAGTGCAAACGACACACTCCAACATTTGAGGTAAGCAAGCAAAGCAACTATTTACGATAAACGTGTAACGATAGGTGTTCTTTTGTAATTGCTAGTCCATAGTCCAGTCATTTTAATAAAGGTTATTTGTAGTTCCATGGGCCCGACCATCATTTAACTATTATCTGTTGTCACATTTATTTATTTATTTATTTATTTAATCTGTTTTTATAAAGCATGATAAGGCCTATAGAAGTGCACGAGCCACGACCTGCTCGTGTTGTCAATGAAGGCCTTATGTTTGTGCTGATGTAATGTATTGGCTGCACCACCCTTGTTTCAGGATGAATGGGGAAGTGAATGCTGGCAGGGGGGGCACTTCCCGAAGGAGCACAGGCACAGATGATGCTGCAAGAGGAGGAATAGACCATCAAGTGCTGCCATTTGAGACGTACGATTCTGCAAGAGCCAAAGTGGCTGCAAACCTGTACTGGTTATTTGCCAAAGCCTTTGGTCCAGGTATGATTGATCACTGTTTTGGATCAATGGACTATCATTTAAATAGATTAACTCATATTTATAATGATGTAGTAATATTTCAAGTAACAGCAGGTTTTGCTCCAGTTGTCAATGCATAATAGGTAGTATCAATGTGTCTTATCTCAGAAGCCCAGCTCTGTTAACACTTTACTACTGCTACACACAACCCAGAAACAAAGAGCCAGCAGTTCAGATAGTGTGAGCCTGTCAGATTAAGATCACTGGTTTCTCACAGGTCACTAGACTCGGTTGCAGCTCTGATGATAGCTTGTAAAAAAAATTCTAACAATTGTTCTACACTGGTGTGATGGTCAGGAATTTGTCTTTGAAAGCAGATGTGTATGTCCTTAAGAATCAAACAAATGCATTCTTGATATCTGATTTGATTGGATTTTTGCTCTAAAGTGAAGTGCTGAGCCACATTATAGTAAAGAGTTTAAGGGATTGTAGCTGTGTCACTATGTTTAACTCTCAGATTAATTGGGAATAAATGGGGGGAAAAATTTTAATTGACATTTTACCCAATAAATAAGCATAAATAGAATTAGGAATGTTGACAAATAAATGAACTTTTTGGTGTATATTTATTTTCCACTTCAAATACCCCTATAGTTTTTACTATACAGACTGATTGTGACTCTCCATTTGTCATCATAAGTATTTATTTCAGCCTTTTTATAGTTTTATGAATAATAAAAATGAAGGGTCATCCTCAAACTGATTTGTACACGCTTCAGCTGGACTCGGGTGGGTAATGAAGCATTATTATTAGAAACTTCAGTCTCGGATTAATCAAAATTAGTACACAAGGTAATAAGGCAGGAGTCATTGTTGGTGTGCTGAAGGGAATGAGGAAACAAGAAAGAAATGCTAAAATGATTTTCCTTGGAAAATACTGAATTTAGTGGTGGAGTCTCTGGATCTCTGATTTGATGTCAAAAATAGATGATCTACCTGTGTCCACAGCACACACAAGTCTGTCTGCGGCCACACCACCAGCTTAACAATCATCAGCTTTAAGCTTCTGGCTCATCTATTGGCTCTGGAGATGTGTCCTCTCAGGCTGTTTACCACTCCACTCCTGCACTGGTTTCTAGACACTCTAATACCATGACAAGGACAGTTGAAAGGAAGCTACTTATGTTATGTAACAGAGGGATGTTGATTGTCACATGTTAGAGTGTGCCTGTAAATGTATTTGTATATTTTATGTGTCTTATATCTTAGAAGACATTCCTTCAGATCTTCAAGACCCATTTTACACCGACCAGTATGAGCAGGAACATATTAAGCCTCTTATCACACATCTATTGCTGTCTGCTGAGCTCTACTGCAGAGTTTGTGATGTCCCTTTTCAACCAACTCCCCTTCAAAGCCACAAGTCTGTCATTCAGGCATTATCCAGAAAGGGCTTATATATCCTGGATGACAACGAGGCTCTGGTCTCTGAAATGGACCTTACTTCAACTCCAATTAAAATGGTGGGTAGACAGTCCCAATAGTAATTCATGGACAAATGGATAACTTTTGCTGTTGTTGACCTGTCTTTATTACAAAGACACTAATATTTCTATAATATCACTGTCACTATCTCAGCCAGTAGTTTGCCCATCCAACCCTCTGTTAATTCGAGATATTTAAAATATGTTATTTTTTGTAAAAAGGTACATGCTTATGTCATAATAATAATATTCATTCTATCTTTAGAGTTTTCATATTCAGCTCATTGATACCTTGATGACAGCTTACACTGAGGAAATGATAAGCATTGAAAAGGTGGTGTCTACTGTGAAATACTTTGTGGAAAGCAGTGACACCATGATGTTGCCTTTGGACTTGGAAGATGCTATGATGTTTTGGATAAATAAGGTAAATATTTGCTTACTGCCCAATGTATATTTGCCATTTTTTATATATATATATATATATATAGAGACATACATATACCCTGAACCTTATTATAGGTGATCATGAGAGGATTCACCCAAAAAGAGCCAAAAAATAAGCATTTCCTGGAATCCCCTTGTCATCAGAAGGTAATACATACTTCCTATCCTCTGTCATAGTTGATTTTGTCTTGGTAGATGAGGTAATTTTCAAACTTCACATGTGAGGTGCTGTTCTTTGTGGTTTACTGTCTTGTTTTAGTGAAGTCACAAACATTAAACAGTCAAACAGTCTTAAATAGGAGTAATCCTGCCCTGTCTATGTTCTGAACCCCTGAACAGTCTGCTCTTCCCATGTGTCTCTCCTCAAACCTGATTTACTCCACTCGCTGGGCCATAGTGTCCCTCCAAATGGTATTGGAAACTTTTACCTGTAAGTTTATGTGTTACAGCTTTACATACACACACATTATATATGTATATGTATGTATGTATGTGTGTGTGTGTGTGTGTGTATATATATATATATATATATATATATATATATATATATATATATATATATATATATATATATATATATATATATGTATATAATATATATATATTATATGTGGAAGTATTCAATATTTGGTGTGACCACTCTTTGCCTTCAAAAGAGCATCTATTCTTGTAGGTATACGTGCATACAGTTTTTGGAGGAACTTGGCTGGTAGGTTGTTCCAGACATCTTGAAGAACTAACCACAGATCTTCTGTGGATGTAGGCTTCCTCACATCTTTCCGTCTCTTCATGTAATCCCAGACACACTCGATGATGCTGAGGTCAGGGCTCTGGTGGGGTCATACCATCACTTCCAGAACTTCTTGTTCTTCTTCACGCTGAAGATAGTTCTTAATGATTTTGGCTGTATGTTTGGGGTCGTTGTCCTGCTGCAGAATAAATTTGGGGCCAGTCATACACTGATGGTCTTGCATGATGGATAAGTATCTGCCTGTATTTCTCAGCATTGAGAACACCATTAATCCTGACCAAATCTCCAAATCTATTTGCAGAACTGCCTTCTGCTACAGCCAAATATTTCAAATATTATATCAGTCTAGAGCACCTGCTGCCATTTTTCTGCAACCCAGTTCCTATGTTTTTGTACATACTTGAGTTGCTTGGCCTTGTTTCCACATCGGAGGTATGGTTTTTTGGCTGCAACCCTTCCATGAAGACCACTTCTGGCCAGACTTCTCCGGACAGTAGATGGGTGTACCTGGGTCCCACTGGTTTCTGCCAGTTCTGAGCTGATGGCACTGCTGGACAACTTCTGATTCCGAAGCCTAATAAGCTTGATGTGTCTTTCATCAACTGCACTAAGTTTCCTTGGTCGACCACTGCGTCTACGATCCTCAACTTTGCCCTTTTTTTGAGCTTCTTCAAAAGAGCTTGAACAGCACATCTTGAAATCCCAGTCTGCTTTGAAATCTTAGTCTGGGAGAGACCTTGCTGGTGCAGTAGAACTAAATTGTGTCTTGTTGTTGTGCTCAGTCTTGCCATGGTGTATGACCTGTGACATGAGACCATCTTCCCCAACCTCACCTCCAGTTTTAAGCCTCCTACAGAGCTCTTTCTGTTTCAGTTAATGACTGAGTTCCAATCTACGTGTGACATTGATGATCATTAGCACCTGTTTGGTATAATTGGTTGACCATACACCTGACTATAATCCTACAAAATCCCTGACTTTGTGTGTACCGCTTTGTGTGAACTGATGTTGGTTTGAAGGCAAATGGTAGTAACACCAAATATTGATTTGATTTAGATTTTGCTTTTGTTCACTCACTTTGCATTTTGTAAATTGATAAAAAACAATCATTATTTATATTTTTGAAAGCATTCTTTGTTTACAGCATTTTTTTTCCACACCTGCCTAAAAAATATTATTAATATCAGATGATTCTTGTGCCTTTATATTTTATAATATACCCTTTTATTGCATGCCTATTTTTTTTACTATGATTTTTTTTTTCATCCATTAAATGCAAACATATGTTCCTTCTCTGCATTGCTTACCCATTCCTTAAAGTGCTTTATATAAATATGTTATGAATAAACATTTTCTTTTTAGGTACGTTACCGCAAGGATCAGCATTCTGGACATCCTCATCCATATTTACCCATCTTAGACAACTTGTCAAGTTTTGTCTGTGTTGGTACTTCTCTGCTAGCTGTAGTCCACTTCTATTGCCCTGAGCTGATGAGGCTAGAAGGTGGGTCAAATGCGAGTTAACATAGAAATGAATGAATGAATGTAATACTGAATGGGAACCCCTGAAGTGCCTATAAAAGATTTTTACACTTTTCAAAAGTTAGCAGTTCTAACACTAGTAACATTATCACAATATTAAAGAGGGGTTAGTCTGTATGAAATCAGTTATTTTCAAGGAATCTCCCCCATGAGTCATCTCAGATTTGGCTGAAAAAAATTTCAAAAAATTTCAAAAATCACCAAATGAAAGAATCTCAAATTTTAGGTCAATCCCTTGAGTCATTCCTGAGTTATGGCCCATTGAAATATTGAGGCCATGCTCACTTTTTCTGAAGCCTTAATTTATAAGCATAACTTCATAAAAAATAGAGCTAGGAAGCTGAAAATTTGTATTATTGAAGATTCAGATTCATAGATTCTGAATCTGTTGTCAAATATTCACCATTCACCATGTCAAATCTATCACCATGTTCATATGAATGCTCTTAAGTATTCTCAATGAACCACCTGATGTCATAAATACATGCACTGTATTGACCTGGCTGGTACAGAGAAATATCTGGCACAATCTCATTTTGTATTTAAGAAACTGACACTTCAGTACATAAATTATTTTGACGTACTCTCCTCATTTCTAATTTACCATTTGACACTGGAAGGAAACTGGTGTGATCTAGTACCATTCACAGTCTTGACCTCGCTGTAGTGCTCTTCTAGTTTGGATGTAAGTTCATGGTTTGTTTGCTTTAGAGCTTGTAAAGAAAACTTTTACATTCTTTATGTTTTGTGAAGCCCACTCAAACATCTGTGTGCAGTCAATATTTGATTGCTGTCAGTTGACTGAAGACTGGCCCTTGCAGCCGAGCGTTTTACTGTGCCACCAAAACCATCACAAACAATGTACCACAAATAATATCCAATTGTCTTCCCTTATAACAAGCAATTAGTTTTTAAGGCTGTTAAAGGTAAATGAACCTTTCTATCAGGTGGAAAAGTCCCTAAGCTCCACCAAAAATAAGCCATTTTCAAAAATTCCATTTGAAGTTATGCAATTTAATAGTAGATGTTTTTATTACTTTAAACTAATCAGAATATGCCAAAGATTCTCTGGTAAAAATTTTATCAACATCTAACTGTGCCCACATGGGGAACTGAGGGGCCAAAGAAGGGGCCAAAAAGGTCACATTTGGTCTGTGACCATATTTGGGACCGTACCATCCACATGAAAACTCAGGAAAGTGTGAGATTGTTGTCAGAAATAGTCATTCTCTCAAATATTCAGGTTCAACAGTTAGTTTATAAATATCTGTTTGGAGTAAATAGATTTTGGACCTCAAATCCTGAAAAATAAAAATAAAATAATAATAATAACCAAATTTCTGTTTTTTGGCTTTTAGACATCTGTCTCAAAGAGGTTCCCTCCACTGCTGAGAGTTTGTCAAATATTCAGCTCTTGATGGACTTCTCAGATGAATTTCTGAACAAATGTGTCTACCTCAGGCCTGAGGACATGCTATATTCTCCTCCTGTGTTGAAGGTGAACAACCATAACTCAGATATGTTTTCTACACATACATTTTGAACACTACTGTCACTTTCAATGTCTGTCTTTCTTTGATAGATTAACATTATGCAGATTATTGCTGAATTGTTTTGGATTTTTGAAGTTGTGAAGCCTGACTTTATGGAGCCTCAAGACCTTCATGAGAACAAATATGGTATAATTTGTACTACTACAAATAGCACTTATCTCTGTATCTTATTAAAATGTTGTACCAATTGTATTTGTGTGTAGTAAGGAAGCCACAAAGCTCAAATACATTGAAGCAAAGATTTTGGACTTCAAACTCTGAAAATACAATTACTAGATCAACAGGCCCTCAAAGAAGGTATGTATGTATGTATGTATGTATGTATGTATGTATGGTTTGTATGGTTTATGGATCACGAATCAAGAAATCATCATGCTGTTATATAAAATTACCATAACTGTGCTTTTCCCCAGTTTGAAAGCTTGTCCAAATTCATGTGTGCTTCCACCATGCCAGAAAGAACAGACAATGATTGAGGATCACAATCTAGGTATGTAAAAGTGATACAAATTTCATTAGTTACAAAAAAAAACAATCCCTTTATTTGACTTATGTGTGTATTCAGGGCAGAAAAATAGGTCCAGCTCACTCAGCTATGAACAGGATACTAGAGACGTTGTATGGCTAAGGAAAAGACAGAGGTAAATTTGTGTTGAAGCAACATTATATAAAAAACAAAAACAACAAAAAACTTACTATTAAAATTGTCATTTTGTTATTTTTAATCCAGGCCTTTATCCCAAACGGTGCCTTATGCTCTACACTTTCCCATGAAGGAAGATGCTGATAGTATTAGCCTTCCCCACACAATGAGTAAAGACAGTTTATCATCCAATTTCATAAGCACAGCCCCAAGACACATGCTGGGGTCCGGACATCCCCGCAAACTGAGTCGTTGTAACTTGTTAAATTATATCCGTTTTGAAGATGAGGAGGAAGAAATAGAGGAAGAGGAGTTGGTGGCCATTATCAATCCAACTACACTGTCTCGCTACCATCATCAGAGTGAAACAGAGCACCGGGTATTTCATTCATTGAGTCCTTCCAGAACAAATAATGCACATGGCTCTCTTGGTTTGGATAGATACCCTATTTCCACAGAGCGATCAGTGGACAAATATTTTCTGGAGCCTTTAATTCCTGCAGTTCCAAAGCCAGCCAAAGAAAAGAGTGTCCTTGTGAATAAGGAAGAGGAGTGTGGTGAGTCTGGCTTGAAAGGATCATTAACTGTGAGAATAAGTCCTCCCAGTGGCTCATGTGCTCCTCACAGACCAACATTGCTCTGTGAGTCAAAATCTAGCTCCAGTGCTGGTATTTCCCTGAGAGCTGTCACACAGGGCTACACGGATACTACTGACCAACATAGCACGAAAGAATCTGATGGATTTTTTCTTCACTTTTCAGAAGCTCCAAAAGATGATAGTCCGTTGTCTTCATTGGAGGCCAGTAATGTCTCTGACACAGAATCCTTCACTGAAGACAATGAGGATGAGCTGCAGTTGGATGAAAACATAGGATATAAAAGGAGGTATTACATAAAGGAGCAGAGCAACTTCGGAGAAGGAGAATCCATCAAGCTGGGAGAGGACCAAAAAGTGAGCGAGTGTGATGATAAAGAGGACCATAGTGGATGCTTGAGTCCATGTCACAGCTCTGGGTCCTGGTCAAGCAGCAGCACTGGTGTCAAAATGACAAGCTTTGCAGAAAAGAAACTGCTGAAACTTGGACTACATGGTGGACTTCCCAGTACTAACAGCACACCAAGGACCACACCAGATGACTCAGAGGCTTCCCCATGTCCACCCTGGCAACTGAAAAACACCGAGAACACTTACTCAGTTGATAAAGAGACCTGCAAAGAGTCCAGAAACATTACAGTGAATGCCCTTTTAAGCCCCAGCTCTGTAGTGCCAGTAGAACTGCTTGAACTTCACATGCAGCTGGAGGAAAGGAGACATGCTATTGAGTGTCAAAAAAAGAAGATGGAGACTCTGTCAGCACAACAACGACTTAAGTTGGGAAAAGCAGCATTTTTAAACATTGTCAAAAAGGAACAAGGGAGGAGTGACACACTCCCATTGCCCATAAAACAGGGATCATTAGAGCTAATGGCTGCCAATCAAAGAGAAGTAAAATTACAGACCTGTAAAGATGATTCTTGTCTAGAAGATTTAAAAATTAAGACTAAATTAAATGAGGGAGCACCACTGATAAGAAATAATGAAGTGTGTCAGGACTCAGGACAGTGTTTGCACTCAATAGAAGTACTTAATGAAGCAATTTCTTCAATACAGCAGCAAATAATGCAATTGTCCCTACAACAAGATATATTGATTAAACATCGCTCTGTGCTTCCTCCCAAATTTCAAACAGATGTAAGCACCACTCCCTGCGTTACAGCCATGACATACCACACTAAAAAGTCCAAAGCATTTGTTGTTAACTTTCAAAATAATGATGACAGCAACTCAGCGTCTTTGCGATGTCCACCCAAACTTAGCTCCAGTCAGCACAAAGCCTCCAATCAAAAACAGAAAACAGAGAAAACATGTCCAGTCCTAGATAAAAAATATGAAGAAGAAATAAGAGAGGTACTTGAGAAATGTAAAACTGAACAAGACATAGTAAAAAACTCGTCCTTGAGCATTTGTAATGAACAACAATGTGTTAAACTCAAAACAGGACATTTGCCAATTGCATCACAGTCTCCAGTCAACTCAAGAAATCCTGCAGTTGGACAAGATCAAAACAGCAAGTCAGAAATTCAAACACTTGATTCAGAGAAAGAAGCTACTGTTGTGGACAACAGTGCCAGGATAAAGGCACATCTTATTGAGGTTGACCTGTCGGAGATTACAGAATCCACAGAGCAGAATTCTGCTGATGTGGAAATTGAACAGAAGAATGTGCTGGGATTCTTTTTTAAGGTAACATGTGCTTGCATGATATAAATGCATTGGAGACAAAATACTAATCACAGTTGTTTTCTAGGATGAAGAGAGAGCAGATGAAATGGCTAAGCGTCGAGCTGCCTTTCTCATTAAACAGCAGCGTAAAGCTGAAGAGGCAAAACTTCGAAAACAACAACAAGAAGTTGAAAGTGAACTAAAGCGTGATGAAGCAAGGTAGATGACAGGACGTCATGTCTTTACAGCCTTATAGCAATAAAATGAATACAAGTGATCCTGTTTTTTTAAGGCGCAAAGCAGAAGAGGAGCGTATTCGTAAGGAAGAGGAAAAGGCCAGACGGGAGATTATTAAACAGGAATATCTGAGGAGGAAGCAGGAAATGCTCATGGAAGAACAGGGTCTGGTCAAGTCTTTGCCAAGGACAAGGTCCCGTAAAAGCAAACCTAAGTCTCTTCATAGAGGATCAAGCAGCCTCTCTAAAGGAGCCACCACCACATGTATTTTTTTAAATTCTTTTTTCATGTTTTTTGTAATATGTTGATGACTTGCTTAATGCATTTTTCTCACAACATTTAGCCGACCTGGGAGGTAGTCATCATGGATCCACGCGCTCATTGGCCACAGAGGTTGAAAGTATAGTTTCTCTGGAGTCTCACTGGTAGGACAATTTTCACACATTTGTGCTTTAGATTTAAATATATATATTTAGTGGTAAATTTACTGTAATTATTTCTTCTAGTGCTGAGTTAGTCTGCTCAGTGGAATCTTTCCCTGTCCTGAGCAGGGCATCAAGCAGGAATATGGAGAGAGACTGGGAAATTGGCTCCATAACCTCTTCCATCACTTCAACAGAGTATACAGGTAAAGGGGGAGGTTTACAGATTAGATATTTGTACTGTGTAGTGAAGTAGTGTAGTTGTTCTTAATGATATATCAGAAGAGGTATGGAAGTCTAGGCATACTACAGCAAAATGTGCGTACTCATGCCAATTTTAACTATTGATCTGCTTTTACCTCATATTTCCACTTTTTATTTTGTTAATTTTGTTTTTGTTTTTTTGGTATTTTTGCCATTTTGTTAAATATTGGAGGATAATTAACTGTTTTACACTATATGATTGACACCATCAAAAGCTACAGTATATATTGAAAACTATAATGCTCTCTTTTTTCAAAACAGGTCCAAAACTATTCAAAGAACCATGCTCTAAATCAAATAAGCCAATCATCATAAATGCGATTGCTCACTGCTGCTTGGCTGGCAAAGTCAATGAGACCCAGAAGAATGGAATTCTTGAGGTGAGTGCATTGTTTTTTATTTTTAATTTTAAATATTTATTTTACATTGATGCATGCATCTTATTAAATGTCACTTTTTTCAAATACCACTCACCCTGTAGGAGCTGGACAAGTGTGACTCCAACCACTTGATCATTCTGTTTCGAGATGGTGGGTGCCAATTCCGAGCCATCTATGCATACTCTCCAGACACTGAAGAGATTACCAAAGTCACTGGCACTGGGCCACGCAACATCAGCCATAAAATGATTGATAAACTGTACAAGTATAGTTCTGACAGAAAACAGTTCAGTGTCATCCCTGCCAAGTCAGTTTCTGTCAGTGTGGACGCACTGACCATTCACAATCACCTATGGCACATTAGAAGACCAGGGAGTGCACGCAGGAAGTGAAGGAGAGTGGAGATTAGTATTGGGCTGGACCCAATCTAAAGAATTATTAAGTCTTATTACAAAGTAAAAGTAATATTTCAAACATGGATAAAATCTCTTCTGTCCTCTTATTTCTGACTTTTTTATGGGGGAGCTGAAGAAATAATTTCTAACTTATTTTGAAATCTGTTATCATAGTACATACTATCTATAATGTCTCCATAAATACAGCAACAGGAAATGCTAATTTCATCTCATGTTAAATCAAAAGAAACATTTCCATGTGACCAAGCTACTGTTTAAAGCTTACAATGCGCCTAATCATTTTATTGCATATTTCATTGCAAGGTTTTTAGTAATACATACACTTTTTAACAAATTAACTGAATTGTTTTATATGCATTGTTTATATATATATATATATATATATATATATATATATATATATATATATATATATATATATATATATATATATATATATATATATATATATATATATATTTATTTATTTATTTATTTATATTATATATATATATATATTTATATATTTATTTATTTACTTTTGCTTGGTATGAAAACTATTGTAATTTTTTTGTATGTGTGAACAAATCATTGGTTGGCTTTTTCCAGGTTTTTAAAAGGTTTATTTTAAATACTGTTTCTGCTATAAAGAGATGTATTTTAGCTTATAATGTAAAACAGACATTATACATCTTTATATAGGACAGTAAGACAACAGTAGTGTGAATGTAAAAATATAATACAATACATCTAAACTTGATGTAAAAATCTTGAGTTTATAACTGAAGATTAGTCTTGACTTCATCTTAACATAATCAACTAACAATTTAAACTGCAATTTACTTATATTTTATAAACATTAATTATAAATAATCTGAAAACAGTGGCTGAAATATCAAGAAACTTGTTTAACTCAACAACACTGTGAGGTGTGTTACTATTGTACCTTTAATGCCACACACTAAAATTCTGGCACAACCCATTTAAAAACTATGACAAATCTAAGACCAAAATCTGAACCATTTCTAATTGCTCAAACATAAGTTACTGTTACTAAAGGCTTAAAAGTAATGTTACTATGTACAATATTACCCACAGATGCAGAGGCACTGGTTAACTTTAGAGAATGGCACTGCTGTACAAAGCACTGATTGTCTTTGAGGTTAAGTAAGGGTTCACACGAGGTGATGAGGATGACCCCTGTGTATTCAGAGCTGGGTGTCCTCCTTGTTGTCGTAGCTGAACTCACGACGGTCTTTGAGGCTGCTGCTGTGGAGGGGAGGCTCCTCAGGCACATGGGCCAGAGGGTCTGACCGGATCAAGTAGCTGAACAAAGAGGAGACAAGACAACAACAAAACAGAGAAATGTGCAACAAAAATTAATGTGAGTCTTGACTTCTAAATTCTCTAAATTCTAAATTCTCTTGTGAATCTAGTAAAAAATGTAATGCTTACACAATGTCATTAAGCTCCAGCCTAGTGTCTGGTGAAGGGTTTATCAAAACATAAGATAAGGTGTTCTGCTGATCATTCTGCTCATCTGTAATGTGAGCAGTACATCAAAAATTATTAGTATTTGAACAGGACTGTGCCTTGCTTGAATTGCTTACCTTGTAGATAACCCAGATTAACTCTGTTCATGACATCACTGGCAGTCAGATTGGTTAGATCTTCTATGTTACATAATGCAGAGATGGACATAGACTCATGATTTCCAAATTCAAAGCAAAGCAGTTTTAAAACACTATCATTGTACTCACCATATCCAGATGTGGGCAATCCCAGATGCTTCATTCTGTTGCGGACTAGTTCAGAGAGCTCCTCTCGTTCAGATCGCCTGTACAGGTTCAGCCGCTGCTGGGCAATGCGCTGGGCATGGTCCTTGGTTGAATCACGACTAACACTCTGCCACCTGCTGCTTCGTCTGCTCAGACGCCGTGCCCATTGCATGCTTTTTTTCCTCTTCAGTGGATGATCTGCTTGTTCAACACTTCGAAGTTCACAACCTCTGTCTTTAGTGTCCTCACAGTCGTCTACACTCATTGACACTTGAGACTAGAATAGAAGATCAAACATTTTTAAAAGGCAATAAAATTGCAAAAAATATATATTTAAAAAAAAATAAATTACCTCTGCTGCAGAGAAAATGTGTGATTCTGTTCGATAGATTCCAATTGGAATTTCAGCACTAGAAGAGCAAAGTTTCTGAAACAACCTGCCATATGTTCCAATCCATATATCCTCCTCTGTAACTTTCATCTTTACCAAATAAAAAGACATTTGATTTACCAATTGCTGTGTCTGTACCAAGAGACTATAACAGGGCCCTTTACAAATGTTACTCACAGCACAGAGATATCCTGATCCAGGAGTGGTGTCTAATCCTAAGAGCAACCTGGCAATAAGTATCATATAGTCCTTCACAAAAGACTGAAATCATGAATAAAAACTAGATCAGTCAAGTAGAGCAAATGTAGTGTTATTTCCTTTGAACATAAGATGGCGCCAAATGCATAGTTTTTAAAATGTCTGTTATCTTTAAGCCAGTTACAAATCAGACGAACAGTTAATGTCAGAACCTGATACAGCAGTGTGTCCAACATGCTGATGCTGAACACTCTCCCTGCAGCAAATGGAAGGCGAAACATGAAGGCCAGATTAGAGCCTTTATCACGCTCTTTCTGTCATCCACAAAACACATTAGTTATCAATACAGTGTTATATTATAATAGCCCGCTTCAGTTCAGAGAAAGCTCACCTTTTCCAATTTGGAGAGTGCAAGAGAATAGCAGTCTTTAGCTCTGAACTGCATAAACCTCATGTTGGATGGATGAGTAAGCTCTGTGATGATACTTAGACTGGGAAACAGCCTGAAGCACAGACAGCCATTGTTTAGGAAACAACATATGGTACAAATTAACATTTTCACAAATTACTCATTCTCATTAGACAAGTAATTAATAAAAGAAATCACCTAAACATTGTCTGTACATTAACGATAGTTTTGGCATCAGCCATGTAGTCTTCCTCTGCACTCATGGTGCTTTCCTTATCCACCACAACCAAATTGTCAGCATAGATGATTCCACACTGCAACAAGCTGTCCAAACTGAAATACCAAAACAAACCCAAAACTTGTATAATTGAAACATAATATTAATAATAATAATTGAAACATTGTACATGCAGCTCTCCCTTACTTACTTGTCTATTGACCCCGCCATGTAATAAACCATTGGAAAACAGCAGATAGCCTCTAGAAAGTGATTATCTGGCCTGTAAAACAGTGTATTTGTTAGTACATGACTAAATGTGAGTCATGGATGACAGCTCAGTCAGCCTGACACTGGTCACTAGTGAGTCTTAGCGGTGATAAGTGTGCCCCCTCTTCACTTACAGACATTTAGTCGGTTTATTAATGGTTGTTTTCATGCAGTAACCATGACAGAAGCCTAGCCTTGCTGACATGAGGCTTAAGGCTGTGCATGTGATTGAATAGCATGTATGAGTGGGCGTTTGTATCTGTGTGTGAGAGAGGAGAGTGCTAACAGGCACAGGGAGGATGTTGTTTCCCTGAGCACACATGTTGTGGATGAAAAAGCCTTGAAAGCTTGCATGGTGTTCTCCAATACTTGTGATTTTTTTGTTGTTGTAGGAATATCTATATATCGTCCAAGTTCAAGGAAAAGCATGTTGCCATGGTTACAGTCTGGCACTACAGAGAGCAGTGTTTTATTTTCTTTGTCACTCAAAACACACCGTCATGCTGAGCAGCAGCTGTAACCTAACATCAGGACTGACAATGGCAGCCCACCTCCACAGCCTTTGCCTAAGTGCTCTGCTGACGTTAGCTTTTTGAATACACAATGTTCCCTGTCATGAAATGTGAACAACCAAATGAAAGAAATATGAAGAAAATTAACTCACGGATTATCCAGTAACAAGACAATGGGGTTGAGCTCTTTTCTTGGTCTATAATAAGCTCTGAGAGGCACTATAAAGTTATAAAGACCATTCCCAGCAGTTTCAGCAGATACAATGATGAGCTTGTTTTTAAACCCATATGCCTTGGCGTCCTCAAAACTGTTGTGTCGGCATCCCTGCATAACAAAAAAAGCAAAACCCTTATGTAATATGCTAACAGTGACTAATTTGAAACAGACAGTACTGTAGACCCACCTGATCTAGTCGTAGACAGCAAAACGGGGCTTTCTCTGCTAACAAATGGCATAATGTGGGCGAGCTGCCAATGTATGGTGAGTTAGGTGGATAACCTTTCACATACCTGGGGGGAAATGAAAAAGGAAATGGACGGTCGGTTTCAAACAAAATATGTACAGAATGAGATGTACTGTGGGGTTTATAAATTGATTGGTTTGTCTGTTATTGTTACTCTCTCTGTTCAAGTCTATTGGCAATGTAATATACACATAATAAAAATAAGATGTTGGATGCAGTCAGTTCATGGAAAAACACCCAACCTAACTTACTGCCCCTGCTCTTGGTCTTTCTCATCAGGGAAAACGGAGTCATCTTCAGACTGATCACTAAGAAGGTCACAGGGCAAAATTGTAGAGGAATCTGCAATTTCTTGAACCGGTGCAATGCTTGGCCGTCGCCCCCCTGTGCCATTTACAGTAGGCGGTGGGACAAGGCTACCACCTGTGGGTGGACTTGTGTTCTGAAGATCCATTGCAACTGTGCCTGCAAAGTTTTACATTTAAACAGAGACACAAAACAAAAGCAAAACTCATTAAAGGAAATGTATGTAGACCTCGTTCTCTGTACTGTATATGGATAAATAAAGGGGATATTATGTCCATTGTTTTTGTAAACTGGCATTATTATTATTATTATTATTATTTTTATCAGTAAAAGTTACATTTGATTTAAATTGGGGAAGAGAAGTGTAAAATTTTAACTCAGAATCTTAAATGCAGTTCCTTCAAGTAACAAAACCTTACCCATGCTTGCAATGATACTGTGAACAGGAAGTTGTGCAGGTCCATCATAAAGTCCCCCGATAGATCTGCCTTTCTTTTCCTCCTGATTGAAGATGAATGCAGAGTTTTCCTCTTTGGTGATATTAATGTAGTAACACGTGTCTGTGGCAGCCATGATGTGGCGTGGACCTGGATTTAACAGGATGCTCTTATTGTCTTCTTGTTTAATCCCAATCAGGCACACCCCATACCTTAATGAGATTCACAGATGAAATTGGACATTTGTTGATAAATAAGCACAATACTTGTATTATGCAGCAGTGAGCAACAAACTTTTAACAATTAATGAAAACCTTGTATCTCTAAAATGTTCTGTCTTACTTTTTATGAGCATGAAATGATGCATATGTGAAGCTTTTGCCATTGTACTCTCCAAAAAACTTGCTGTCACACAGTCGGATATGGTAGACCTCATTGCCAGAACAACATCCATACATCCTCTGCCACTGCTCAGGGGACTGTTGTCCTTCTCTGGGATTGTAAAATCAAAAATAAACATGAGATAAAACATTTGAAACATTGCCTTTTCTATTAAATACTAAATTAGTATACATAGTATATAGTATATAAGCAGTGTCAGTGTTGTATTGTTACAATACAACAATACAAAAAACACATGCTGCAAATATATATAAACACTGTGAACAAAAAATACCAGAAGTACTAATGCTACAGACTATTGATTTATTTTCTAGTTTCTGAGCAATTGATAGTTCCATGTAAAAGTGGAATGGTGGCAGTCTAGTAGAAATCTTTTTCATGCAAAGCTTTTTATGTTACGCTCTTGTATGGAGAACAGATCCTTATTAACCGCTGATTGCTTTTCCTTTTTGTTTAATGCACTCTCCCTGACTCTCACTGTGGACCACAATAAACTATGATTTCTGTTTTGATTTGTGCCTCTGTGTCACTTCCCTGGAGGCAGTATATAAATATGTAGACATTACAAAGTGAGCTTGTAAACACACTAGGAGAAAATAAAGGGCCCAGGGGCACACATTCAAGTCAACAAACCGTCCACGTGAAGTATGTACAAGCAGAGTGACCAAAGTGGAGGTGGCTGGGCATATGCAGTTTAGGGCCAACATGGCATATTTGAATTCTTCTTCACACACAACATGATCTGAAACAAAGTAAAACAGGATAATGAAGGAGTACTGCTTATTGCTTAAACTATGCTTATATGAATATGAATTTCTTTTAGAACAGAAGCATTATTTTTGTGGTCAGAACATATGCAACTATTGTTACGTAGCATGACATACTGTTACTATTTTGTAGCAGCAATCTGCCAAAGGCTCAAATGACTTCTCTCTTCCCCCGTTGCCTGGCAACATCAGAGTGACTCCAAAAGTCATTCCCATGTGTCACTAAAACTGTACTTCTCAAACTACTGTACACAAGTACCGTGTACATAGGATTACAATCTATTTATTTTATTAGTCAAAATCTGAATCACAATCAGGATAATCTTACCTGCAAACTTAACATGAAACTTATTTTCTGGTTTGAGAATTTGGACGTAGAGTGGACAGTTTGGAGCAAAGTCTTTGACTGCCCAAGCCCTCAGTATTGTCTGATGATCCTGAGTTGAAATATCAGTTATACAATTATAAACAATTTAATGGTATCTTTATGATTGATAACATTAATCCCAGTAATTTAATTCACACTTCAATTTTGATTTTTGTTAAATGTCTTACAGCTGCAGTGCGATCCACCTCGTTACGACTGCTGAGAATAAAGCAGGCTTCAGCATCATCCATTCTGTAGAAACATAAAAATACAAATCGCTCTCCAAATCATTGAAGGTCATGTTATCATGGGACAACCAACGTTTGAATTAAACAAATTCCTAAAAAGCTGTACCAATATGCCCTGTTTTGCATCTGATTAGATTAGCCAGCAGAGTGCAGAATGCAAAACAAGTGTGGGTGGATTTGAAATATTGCCAGATGTAAGATGTGAGTCTGACACATTCCCAGTCTACATTTTAATTGCTGTATCAAAACAGATAATATATACAGGTATTTCCATAAATTATTTCACCATACATGCATTTGAGTGTGTAATTTGTGTTAGGATATATGTATATTTCCAAAAATGAAAAAGACATAGAAAATGACTACTAAAGACTAAATAAATTCTTATGAGAGAGCTTAGACTTCAGATAAGTTAATAGTAGTAGTAGTAATTATATAACAATTCAAAGATTAAAGTGTGTGTGTAAAATACAAGCACATTTTGTTCACTTAAAACAGTTAGATATTAAGTTGAAGGTAAATGCAAAGTAAAACACACAAAAAAAAACTTTTTCTTTTTCATTAAACGCATTATTACTGAAGAGTTACAATGAGATCCAGCTTTCAGTTAGTAGGTCAAGAGTACATAGAGAGTAACACATACAACAATTGCATCAACATGTAATTTCCAAGACTATCCTTTAGACACACAAGTACATTTAGCTGCATTTCGTTTCTTGTATTCACTGCATAAAAGCCAAAAACTTACTTGGCTCTAAGCAGATCCTGGTCCTTGAGGACAGATCCTTGTAAGTAAATCACTCGCTGTGACCACAAAGGAATCTGCAGTACCCTTCGCACCTGGAGGTCCATCTCACTTGGGCACAGAATCACCACGTAGTAATCCTAATAATAAAAACAATATTACAACAATTATGAAAGTATTATGACATGTACAGCGGCGTAAATAGTGGAGCTATAAGTCGGCTACTAGGTAACTTTGTCTAGATTTAACTGCCTTAAACTTAGAATTGGTAAATTGTCAGATTTGAACCAATCCAGTTCTTTAATATTATCCCAAATAAGAAGTGTTGATTAAATTTGAGGAGATCTACTGTGCATGGACTGAAGTTAAATAATAAAAAGGAATTCAGACTAGTATGTTTTTTATATTATATTTTTTTGTTTTTAAAAAATCTAATCTAATCATTATTTAAGATTCTAAAAAATATGTGGGATTGTAGGCATGGTCATTACAACTAATTGTACCTGTAGTCTGGGATGAGCATAGAACTCATTAAGGAAGTCCATGAGTAAATCAATCTTAAGCGAACTGACACACAACACCACATGTTTCTCGGTCTGCGCTCGGTGGCGGCTGTAATTTCCTCCAGATTTTTGTCTCTCCATCCACAGATAGATTAACTCTTCAAACTGTCAAGGCAAAAAATTAACAGTGGCAGCCACATAAGCATTTCATAAGCAGGTTTTGGTTATATAATGCAGGATCTTATTACCTGCAGAGGGAGAACTACCAGTGCCACGCAGATCATGATGACTACAAGTAGCTGAGATGGCCAAATGCGGGGAGTGACATCTCCAAAGCCCACGGTGGAGAAGGTAACAATACAGAAGTAGAAGGAATTGAAGAGAGAGAGATTTTTTCCAGCTCGCTCCAAGTGCTGGATTCCACATGTACTACACAGAGGAATCATATAAAACATTATTTTAAACAAGAAACAACACAAATAAGTTTATTTTTAAAAGTTTACCCAGTGAAGACAAGGCAGAGCAATGTGCAGATGAGTATAAGGACCTGGTTAAACATGGCTGAGTTTGTCCTCTGAATTGCTCTGTGAACATCATTCTAAAGAAATGAAGAATACAGAAAAAATATATTTAAAAAAAATTATTGTATGAAGCATGACAGGTCATTTCATTATTTATTCATTAATTAGAAAAATATTTTCACTTGAGGTTCCAAAGCAGGAAGATGTGTTACGGGTGCACTGTTACTCGCAACCAGTTAACATCATTATAAAGCAGCCCAACCACCACATAGTGAGTCAGAGGGTCTTCATTTAACCCATTGGGACAGAGGCATTTAGGTTAATACAATTACTCACAATCATGTTTTCCAAAGCACATTTGGCCAACCAGCAATTAAGAAACACAGGGATGAAGATGTTCCTTAGAGAAGGCCAGAATATCTACATAATGAGATTTATAATGAGACTCTTCAACTCTGCAAGCAAAATTACACAGTTGCAAACATTTTATCACTGCTGTTTAAACAAAGTCATTATTTTACCGTGATAATAAAAGGGACCGTGTTGATCATCTCCAAGACGAAGGACACTTGAAATATCTGCTCCCAAATGTTTCCCTGGCAAAAACAAACACGCTTTTATACCGTCCACCTGAGCAAACAGAGAGCTCAGAGTTTCCATAGAGATATACATCTTCACTGTCACTTTCTGATAGCACTTAATCTTTTAACTCCACCCCACATTACAATTACCATCTATCCTTAATGCCGGCTTGACAACAATTGAAGCTAATTACTCCACTTATGGATTGTCAGTCTCGCAGACTGAAAGTGACTAATTGGGCAGAAGAGCATAATCATTCAGATGAGCTTCAAGGCCAAGGATTAGCAATATGCAGTGCCTCACCTTGTAACTCAAATACATCAACAACATTGTCTCCAGAAAACTGATGATGGCCACAATCACCTGCATAAAACACATAACACAAACAGAGTAGAGAAATGCTAACAATGAATAAATACCGCATCATAATATATTTTATGGCTTACTTGTATGGCCCAGACAGCCACTTTCCTATCCACCCAAAAGATCAGCTCCCTATCGCAATGAGAATAATGCCTATGTTATAACATCATTAGGAAATCTGCTGAACATGAAAGACATATCTGGCTGCTCACCAGTTGATTGCGCTATCTTGAATGGATGCATTAGACAGACAGTCAACACTAAATGTTTTTCAAAAAAAATAAAAAGCAAATAAATGCAAAAACTCATGTATTTTAAAATCTACATAACAAAAGGCTCACCAAGTACATACCATTTTGTGTTGGTGCTGGCAGTGCCTGTTTGTGTGCCACTGTGGCTGCTGTGGCCACTCTGAACAGGGTTGTCTGTCATCACTCTAATTATGTACAGCAGACATGTGAGCAGCTTCAGACAGAAGTTGAAAACACGAATCCTCAGACCTTAAGATATAAAAAAGGAATAGTTAATTTAAGTTGTATGTGTGAAAATGCAAATGTCAGTGCTGGTGTTGGTGTTGGTGCATTCAATCATGTATTTTATTTGGGCCTGGATAGAAGGCACTGGTTTGTTCGAGCAAGTTATTCATGGTTTGTCAAATGACCATAATTTATTCAGGTGATTTTTTTGTAAGAATCATAGGTCATTTGTAGGAATTTGTAGTATATTTTATTTTAAACTGTTAACAGACACCAGTCCCAACTTTTCCTCACTTGAAACCCATGGATATGTTGAACCTTAATAAAGCATAGGTAAGCAGACTTCACAAGCATAATTTAATTGACTTACTTGATCTTTGGTTTTTAATGAAGAACAATTTTAAACGCTCCTTAAATGTGTTTTCATTCACATAAAATTCCACCTGAACCCTAAACAGATACAAAAAAAAAATGTGAGAAAAAGGAGCTGTCTATACAAGCATGATACAGTACATTATTGATGAGGCAATCAACCATGTTAGCATGTTTCTCTACCTGTCCGTATAGAGGCTCAGCTAAGGTAGTCCAGGCCAACATCTGGAGTTGGGTCCCCAGGGACTGCACATCTGTCTGCCCAATGCCCACTGCTCCTGACAGGTTACCTCAATAACTTTGAGGCATGAGCCAAATGCAGCTGACAAATTTCTCTACAGACTTTTAGACCCATAATCTTCAGAGAACAGATTACAGAACGTGCAACACGAACACTGTGGCTGTGTCTGTATAGTTTAAACCTACTTGTACAGTGTCTGACACAAGTCTGATTGATGTGCAGAGGAGCATCTTATTTGAGCTGGCTTGCATGTTTGATCTTTCCACTACCTAAGTGTGCCTACAGATACAGTACAGAAAGGTTATGGCAGTAATGTGAGGAGTACAATGTGTTTCTTTTAGCCTCTTAATTGACATTATACTATGAAAACAAAGACTATGGAAAGATTTTGTTAAATACAGAGATTAAATTTAAATGCTGAGCCTGAAAGACATGGTCAGGCAATATGAAATGTGTCCTCCGTGCATAATGGTGCACATAATGACCCTTAATCAGCTCCTGTTGAGAACTCTGACTGTTTCAAGAGGTCTGACATTAGTCATACCACAGAATATGCAGTCTATGAAGGCACTGCAGTCTATTACTGAGTTGCCCACAAATATTTTTTCAGAGATTTTGCCTTTCAAACACAAAAGTATGGCTGCTGGCTTTTTTTCTTCTTTCAAATAGCAGATCCTGAAAGCCATGACATATTTCTTATACTTTTTGTAACCCTGAAAACCTGGAGTCCTACCTCTGTCCACATTCACTACTGAAAGCCTCAGATCTCCACGTTCCCACGGTTGTACTGACGCAGGTCGGGATGACGACTCCAGGATCCATATGAGAGAGGACTCACGACTACCTGTAGCTGCGTCGTGCAAATAATGCACACTTGCTGTAATCCTGAGTGAAATCGCAACTGTTCTTTTCTCTCGTGCAGTAAGCAACGACACATGCAGAATGCATTTTAGGTAATATATGTTTATGTAAACACTTTATACACACACAATTCTACCTCTCCCACTTTCTCTCTCTGTTTCCACAGCAACGTTTCAGAGATGGGAATAACCAGTGCTGATGCAGTTACTGTATATGGCCCTCTGCAGCAGCAAAGCACACTGTAACAAAGTGTAAATGCTAAAGCAAAGGATGCTGTGACAAGTGGATGCACATAAATACTTCAGGTGCCACTGTCTGCTGCGATTCCTCATCATCTGAGCTTCTGCGAGTTTACATGTGGACCATGGTTGCATCTACATATACAGACCCCTCCGACACTTTCAAAACAGCAGATGGCAAGGAAAATGCCTATCTGAAGTCAGTGATTTGTGAAAGATGTTAATACATTGCTTACAGGTCTATAAAACAATCTATTAATTCATTTATCACTTTTATACTTCTGTTACCTTACTACACTTATGATATCTACAGAAGAGTCAAAATACTCATAAGGAAACACAATTTGCAATATGAAATTATTCATGATGAAGTCTCATTGTGGACCCAGATGAACAGATGTTTATTTGGGAGAGGAGTTGTTTGTGCTTCTTATGCATGCATGCTTTTGTAAAGAGAACATTTGAGTAATGGATAAACCCTGGGCAGATGTGACCAGTGACATTTTCAAGTTGAGTCACAGCTGTGAGAATAAAATACAACGTGAAAACCATACAAAGAAATACAATCATATACTGTCTAGGTTTAGAGGAGCTGGTAAGATTTTTACTAAAAGCAATTTGCTAGAAGAATAGTTTTCGGGTGATGACTACATTTACTTTTTAAACTTTTTGCATGCAACAACATGCATGCAAAAATGTGGAGATTAGCCACCAAAATGCATCAAATGCTGCAAAAGCAGTCACAGCCATTTCAGCACCATGGACAGCACCAATCTCAAAATGGTAGTAGGGTTTTTTAAAAGGCTGTAATTATTACATTATTATTATGCTCTCCACAGACCACACAATACTGCTTAACTTACTTACTAAAGCTATTCTGCACACATTTTGCATTTGACATGATTCTTCCACTCACGTTAGAGAGTACAGTGACTTTCATATTTTTTTCAAGCTGTAAGAACCCCATACACTCCTGTTCTTTTTGTTTTGTTTTTTGTTTTTTTTTGTTTTTATCAGTACAGATGCATGCCATTTACAGAATGTACAGAGTGAAAGCCTCCATGGGGTGGGTGTGCGACTTTAGAAATGTTGATGGCAGTAACAGCAGGTGAACAGGTAGGCAGTCAAGGCAGTCAGCATGCAGGATAAAAGAGCAGAATGACTCCTTAAGAACACCACCATTATACAAAGGGTATTTAAATACCAAAAGACCACAAGAAGCATTTATTATGCAAACTTCCACTTAGTCATAGGTCAATTTTATACTGACAGCTGTCAAGTTCAATAATGTATTTTAAAATTATATATATGCAAAAATGCTTTAATTTGTGTAATAATGGTAATGGTGCTAGTTAAACCCATTAACTATTAAAAAAAACAACTAACACTATTGAGGCAATTTTAATATATTTTAGTATTTAGACATGTGTAATGCATGCACCATGTAAAAAGCCTACCTGTCATCATTCTGGAAGCTTTGGTCTCCAAGGAGGAGATCTCTGAAGCGAAACCTGGGTGGCAGCGGTGGCACCTCACTTTCTGCCTGCTCCATCTTTAGGCTGGAAATGTTCAGAATGACCCCACTGTTTCTCTGGGACTGAGCTGAAGAAGAGCTGCATTAGAGAAAAACTAGGTTTAGTCAAGGTGTGTGCAAAAAAGCAAAAAGATTTAGCGAATACAATAAGCAGGACCAGTAGCGACAGACACATGTGATACAATTACACACTATCCAACAGTGACTTGATTATGTACAATAGTGATAATAACAAGGTTAGATAAATTTTCTTTGGTAAATATAAAGGGGGCTTTATTGGTGGTTACCTGTGGCCTCAACACAAGGGTGGGTGCAAAGATAGGATGATGATCAGCTGTAGCAATGGGGTGAGCGAGAAACTCAAATTCTTTGCAATGAACTGTGAAGAAAGAGTATTATGATTTTTAAATATTCAGTTATAAGTTATACATAAACTGATATTGTTGTCTTACAGGTATATGTTAATATTGTTTTAGGGTATTTGTCCCTTCATGTTTTATTTACAGATTTAAGAAATATACATTTAATACAATCAAAGTCTTCCTTATGGTGGTATTCATTTTAATTTGGTAATTTTATGATGGGGTTATATATTGCCATTTAATGGCCACAGCCTGGATGCAGAGTGAATGAATATGTTCAACGCTCACTTTTATGCAAAAAGGCCTAAATGAGAAACGCACAATCACAACACGCAAAACAGTACAGACTGATGCCTATATGAATGCGTTTTAAAAGCCAACTTGTTAGCCAAGTAAAAAATAAATAAATAACGATTACACTTACGAGCCGCACACAAATCTGCAAAGAGCAAATTTAACAAGGCTACGTTTAGAGCCCCTACTTTACTTTTGTTTGTCAGTGTCTTACCGAGGCTTGTGGACGTTCACGGTCCCATCATCGTTGACAAATGTCTGATTCACATAACATTCACTGCACATTTTGGCCGGGGAGCCGGGGCTGGCGTCGGATTGGAGAGCTGTGGTAGTCGGTGAGGAATCCCCCTTCACAAAGTCTTCTTGCTGGCTTAATGGCATTGGACAGTGACACAAGTCTCACTAAAAAGCTCGGGTAACTTGTACCGAGTGTCCAGTCATCTAAAAGCCAAGTGCATCTTAAATCCTATTGTAAAGTGCGGCAGAAGTTTGGATTATCCAACGCAAATAAAGAAAACGATTTGAACTCGTGAGCGCGGTCCCTGCAAGAGCGGTCTGAAGCTAAACAGCTTTTTCCCAAAGGTAGAGCACCTAGAGCAATAACTGTTGATTTATCACTAACTCCTCGTCAGAAGAGATTGGCACCCTCTGTTGGACGCACATCCGCTGTGCTGCTGTCCACGCGTTTTGGCATTTCAAACATTTGGAGTTCATGCTGTAGAAGGCTACTCTTTTGAAATGAGTAACAAATGACACGAAGACTTAGAGGAATAAAAAATAATATTAAATAATAAAATATGATAGTATTATAGTCCATTATACTGATATACTTATAAAATAAATAGGCTAGTGCTAGTGCTAGTTGTGTAGGTTTTCCATAGAATGGTTTGTCAGAGACATGTAATAAAATGTTTCTATAGATACATTAGCTCTCACATCAGAGATTTAATACATAAAAAACTGTGTAAAGAGGTGCCAATGACCATGATGCTCCAGAAATAGCTTAAAATGTTAATGTTAAAAAAAGGAACTGATGATGATTGACTGTTGGCTATTTGTAAAGGTCTGTTTCTTGTTATTTGATAAGAGAGGTGGTGTGGGAGTTGTCATGAATCACCAGTGAGAGGGTGACACGAGGTTAAGAAAAGGTTTCAGTGATCAGGATGGATGAAGTCCTTCTACAGTATAAAAAATTTAAATTAAAAATGAAACACGTTATGCCAAAATTGTGTATGGTATAAGACAGACAGTAATAATGGCTGGACATCAATGAATATATCATATATTATATACATCACTTAATATTCATTATATTCAATCTAAAACATAACCTAAAAATAACTACTATCCATTTGATTGTCTTGTGAGATTATTTGTCTATACACTAGTAGGTCAAGCTTATGCTTATACATGAGAATTAGTTCTGAAACATTTTACTGCAAAAAAACTGAACACACTACTGGCTCTTCGTTCTTATCTGTTTATTATATGAAGGTGCATTTGATGAATGAGGAAACACAAGAGATTCTGCAATTCCACTGATAAAGGCAAAAATACAGAATAGAAGACTGTGGCACTGAGGCACATGTATAATTAAACTTGTGTTAAATGTATTCCTCAGTTAGCACCTTCTGTGCCAACTGCTGCCACTGCTGTGACATAGTATGGTCCTTCTCTCAAGTACGTTTTCAGGCGCAGGCAGTTCTGACTGCCAAGGATTTCTGTTGATGATGATGAACTTACAAGTGCCCCTACCAGTTCAAACTTTGCATCTTTAGCATCCTTAGTTTGACTTGTTGAGCGATCCAAAACAAACTCCATAAAACCAGGAGTGCTCATCATTAACCTCTGACCCCATGGTTGAGAAGCAATGGCCTATAGAACAAATGCTATATGTAATTATCAAATTGCATGTGCATGGCAGATGCATTTTAGAAAATACATTAACACTTACAGTAAAAATGTGGAGAGCACAACAGTGTAGCTCTGGAAATGGCTGGGTGCTGATTTTATGAATCATGTCCATTGGCTGTTTTGACAAAAGCTGGAACCAAGACTCTATCAAGGCCAAAAGGTCTTCTGTCTGCTGTTCTGGCTGCAGCAAAACAACAGTATAATTATACTACAATTAAACAATAAATGAACAAACTCATATTGTATAATTGGTGTATAAACACAAAAACCTGTAGTGTGAAGAGCTGGGATATGGCCTCCAAGCTTCGAACTCTGAGCTCTGTAGTCCCAGTACTGGCAATGTGGCTCATTCTTACTAGTACAGCCTTGAAATTTTCTCCTATAGAAACAAGTTGAAGTGGTAAATATACATACCTATATACAGTATAAACAATAAATAAGATTGGAAAACAATACCTGTTTTCTGAAGGACCTGTTTGCCTTCAATAGTAGATCCAAGCAAGCCCAATGTATCCAAAGCCACACCAATCATAGCTGGATCTGAACCCAGGGCCATCTCAAACACCTTGTTCTGAAAAGCGGGGTAGGTTTCACAAACCTGCTGAGGACTGTCCATAATGGCAACATTGCCAAAGAATTTCACCAAACCTAATTTAACAAATTTCAGTTATTTTTTTAATAGTGATAAACACATCTGAAATAAAAGCAACAAAACACATACCAGGGAGATAGAGAGAAGAAAAGGGATCAGTTTCTGCTCCTCTGATCATGTTGGAGATCTGGTTCATTACACCATGATGTGTCAAAAATTGCCGGCCATGTAGGCTTTGTGCCAAGTTTGTCACCATTTCAACTGCTGTTACTCTAGAAAAACAAAAACACTAATGTTCAAACTGCCCACTATTTATGTAATGACAATAATGAAACCATATTACCTAATTAAAACATCATCTCCTGTCAGTTCACCAAGCAGCTGTGAGATGAGGCCACTGTTGACACAATATCCGAAGGAAATGGGAGAGAAAGATGAGATTTCCACAACCAGCTGCATGCAAACAAAAGCATCTAATTGATTTGAGACAAAACAATTAAAACTAAAGATGACTTGGGTAACACGCACCTCATATATTCTGTATCTGACAATATCACTGACAGCCATCACTTCTTTTATAGTGTTTAGAATGTCACACTGAAACAGTTTATCCAAACCAGCTTTTGAATTACTCAGTTTAGACAGAGATTGAATAGCCTAAAACAACAAAGTTAGTATTTTCAGTACAATTATGATTACAGGCTTGCTAAGAATCAGGATACCTGTTTAGCTACAGAAATGTTCTCCTCTCCAATGGAGTGGATGACAGCACAGAGGAGGTCGTTGTTGTCGAGGATTTCAGTGACTGCATCCGGATGTTCCACAATTCTCCCAATCTGAAAAAGTCATGCACTTTTAATGAGCAATAGTAATGACTGTATGAAATTGAGAGTATATGATCATTTCTACCTGTGTCAAGGCCAGTATTTTAACAGCTTCACTGTTGTGTTTAACGCCTCCTTGAAGCTCGGCTCTGTAGTTATGGGCCAGGTGAACTGGACTTAATGCCATTAATATGCGTTCTAGGATGTCCACACATAGCTCAACCTGCTCCCTATCAAAACAGTTCATACACCGTTAAAACGAAACAACACCATACCATGAAATTTTAATGTTACTGTTATGCAAGATGACTTATCTCAAGTGCAAAGCAAACCGCCACTGACTTAGCATATTAAGATCATAACAGAAGTAGCATAGCAGCTTACCGAGAGTTTGAATGCAAAAAAGAAAAGATGGCACCCAAGCGTTGCCCGCTCACTGAATCTCTCAAAGTACTGACGGGTACAGAATAAAGGGCTGTTTTTAAAGTCTGTAATCCTTCAACAGGGTTCTCAACAGTAGATATTTCACTTAATAAAGTCTCGATGGACGCAGCCATGACTGATACTCTTCCGCCTGTTGTCAAACGCCGCTTCTTCAGAGCCAACAAGACGGAGTCTACAAGTCACATCATAACGCTTTGGCGCCATCGCCTGGATTGAATTATAAGTGAGTTCAGTAAGATGGAGTTAGTGTACTTTTTTCTTAAAACCTTCCCAAAAATTATTTGATTTATACAATCTTGGGGATTAAAATGTTTCCGTGAGAAGATGGAAAAAAAAAAAAAAAAAAAAAAAAAAAAAAGCCATTATGGATATGAGATATTTCACGGTTGGTTAGCAGCAGCACAAAGACTCCTAAATATATATATATATGTGTATATATATATATATATATACAAGTCCAATTAGCTCTAGGCTTCTTTGTATTTGTGGCCTTATCACTTTGTGTCTTAAAACAGATAATGCACATATTTGTGCAGTGTTTCAAGAGTATTTTGTGCTGGTTGTTATTGTAATATAATGTGATGTGTGAGTCCAAGTAATTTCCCCTGTGGATCTATAAAGTCTGCCTTAATCTAAGCCTACATCTAAGTTTGAGTCATTAATGATGTATACTGTATCGTGCACTCCTATAGTTATTTATTTATTTATTTATTTATTTGGGACAGGGACAGCTCACATTTTTTGCATTAACCTTAACAGGAGAGATGGACTGTACATCAGGTTATAGCATCAGTACTAATTTACACCTGTAGTCCCTGGGCATTCATGTGGCTTGGGTTTTGGGGTGCAACGTTACATGTTGGTGTAGAGTTTCATGAAAGTGGACACTTGCTCTGTCAACGCTGTTGTTCAACTGCTTCATCAAGGTGCAGTCTCTAGTCTGATGGGATAACAGCTTTTGCCATGCAGGTACATTTTATCATATTATGTTTTGTTTGACTTTCTTATGTCTAATTGTTTGTTTTTCAGTTTACTCTGTGTAAGCTGCGTACCCACCAATGGTGTTTCCTGCTGTTCAATGTTATCCTTTTCCATGCTCTTCTGTTTGGAGCTGACTTTGTTGAGGAGTACCTCCTCCAGCCCACACCAGGGATCTACACTGATGGTACAGTTGTGGATGTGAGAGAAAAAGCAAGAAAACTTGATCTGACCAACTCCAGAGACAATGTCTCGCAGTACTACCCTATTACTAACCCTGATGAATGCACAAACCACAACCTGTTCATCCTTGTGCTTGTGTTCAGCTCTGTGCCTAATATTACTCAAAGGGATGCAGTCAGAAAGACATGGGCTAACCAAACTCAAGTCCAAGGCTTTCCAGTTAAAATACTGTTCTTTTTGGCATCAACCCAAACTTCTCATGCACAAGATAATCTCATGAAAGAGTCAAAATTGTATGGTGACATAGTTCAAGGACATGTAGTGTCAGGGGCATCTCATTGGAGCTCCACTGAAAAAATAGTGCTAGGTCTACGTTGGGTTGTGGCTTACTGTCCTGTTGCACGCTTTGTTTTGCTGACCAACGATAGAGTGTATGTCAACATTCAGGCCATTGGATTGTACCTACTTGGGCTTCACAGGCACCCAGAGGATCTGTATTTAGGGAGAGTGATTCAGAGAGACTCTCCAGATCGTGACCCTAACAGTCCTGGATATTTACCCCCAGCTTTATATCCCAAGAAGTTCCTTCCTGAATATTGTGACCAGGCCGCTTATGTGCTGTCCCAGGACGTGGTGCGTAAAGTCTACATTGCCTCGGCAGAAGTCCATGCAGAAGTCCATGCAGCTGTGCCTGCTGATGTCTTTGTGGGACTCTGTGCACAGAAGGCTGGGGTGGCCCCAACACACAGTGCACGATTCTCTGGAGAAAAACACATCCAGTATAACGCATGCTGTTATCGCTACCTGTTCAGCTCTGCTGGAATGGATAGCAAAGAACTAGAAATAATCTGGAAAGACATGGAGCAAAAATACAAAAAATGTTCTCTGTTTAAAACCTACTCTGGCCTGGTCATGTGCAAGGCTCTGACCTACTTACATAAACTGTCTAACTCTTGGGAGTAAGCTTTAAGTTTCCCTTTAATTGTATCTATAGCTGACAAAAGATCTATTGACAAATGCATGTAAAGCTTTGTAAAGTTCAGTACAATTAATATCTTTATTTTTCATCCTAGGTTTTCCATTTCAATGTAAGAAGAATAAATATATATCTACATGTAAATATAAATGTTTCTGTTTATAGATGGATGATGTCCTCTAGTGTTCAGTGTAAAACATAGCAAAAGGTCAACCAGAATCGATATCCTATCGATATCTACCTCTTGTTTCTCACATAAATGTGTGTATGTCCTGCCCATTACTATTACAACGCGTCCACTCTCTCTAAACAGATGGCTGATTTTGTGCAGACTAATTAATGTGGATTAATGAGCACCAACTTGCTCAGGTGACTTGTACAAGAAAAACCCCTGTAGCCAACCAATAAACCTGTCTATGTGTACTCCAAGTCACCATAATTCAACCTGTATTTAGTTGAAGCTAAATCTTAATAGAAATAATCATTTGAATAGATGACTTAACAAAAAAAAAAATCACTGACTATAGTCAATTACTAAAATTGTTGCAACCCAGACTTAATGGTGGTTTCTTTCCTGGAGACTGGACTGGAGATTTACCAAACTCATGTACCACATCATAGTGTATGACTCAAAAAAAAAACATTTTGCCCAACAGTAAAGCTCAAGGAAACATTTTCAAGGATATCGCGAGGTCTGGGGGATTTTCCATGGGAATGTGAAGTAAGAACTTTGGCAGTTGCACACCCAAACCACATGCCCCATGCTACCTGCAGACTCCATTGTGGGGTCAAGGGGTCGGTAAACTGTGTGTGGGTGGTGTGCAACACTAATGAATGTTCCCCTCAGAGACACATAACTGTAAAGGCTAAGACTAAAGCAACAGTGTTTTATTTAGGCTGTTTACACTGAATGGAGCTGCCACTCTGACTGGCTCAAGTCATGGGTCAACACAAGTCATTGACTTGACTGATGAATGGAATGAGTGTATATTACCTTCATTTGATCCTTCCACATGTCATCAATCACTATACATGTTTTGTAAGCAACAGAACAATTAATTGAATCTTCATGTAGTTTTCCTATAGTCTCTGTAAAAAGCAGTGGGCATCTATAGTGTTTTTGCAGAAGTTCATATTTTCATGTGTCTTGCTTTTGTGTAGTTTTTCTGCACAGTTTGTTTTCAAGGGCTTTCTTCCTAGGATCAATAAAACAAATTTAGTTTGTTTTATCAGCTATACAATATATTTAAAACAGCTGTCACATATAACAGACATATTGTTGTGCATAATTAAAGACTAAATGAAATGACATGATTTAATATTGATATAATATTCTAAAATTTCTGCCTGCTGTGTCCAAAACAGAACTTCTTCATAACTTGGAAAATCTACAAATTGGCTGAAAAACTGTCAAACAAAATTCACTCCACATTATCTACTGATAAATAATAAAATGTAGTGTAGCTGAGTAGGTAAGAGGCAGATGTACAATGTTCTGAATCACTGAATGATTTATTACAAGCATTTACCACCACCACTACTACTACCACTACTACACTACAACTCATTTTACAGACTGGTTTGGGTGGAGACTTTGCCTGTAATAGACCAGATTTGAGTACTTCTCATTATGGGCTTGTTCTGCCTAACACAGATGAGCTCCCTTGCGGTTCTGTTTTGTCTTTCATATACTTGGCCTCTCCCAGATGAAGCAGACATCTGCAAACACTTAAATAAAAGAGAAAAAAAAAAAAAAAAAAAAAAAAAAAAATATATATATATATATATATATATATATATATATAGAGAGAGAGAGAGAGAGAGAGAGAGAGAGAGAGAGAGAGAGAGAGAGAGAGAGAGAGAGAGAGAGAGAGAGAGAGAGAGACTTTATTGATCCCAAGAGAAATTCAAGCTTTGCTGCAGCATTTACACTGCTCTTCTCAGTCACATTTGTGTCTCAGACAAAGGTCTCAGTGCAGCTTGAGGAGAGGAAGAACCAAAAGTGTCCCTCCTCCGTGTCCTGCAGCATCACAGCAGCCTCCAGGGGGAGCCAGGTGAACACAGCAGAAGAGGCCTCGTTTTTACTCGGCTCTGGGTGATTAGGTTAGTGATGGAATGGTTCATTCCCTCAAAGTGTTTCCTCTGTAAAGTCTTGAAGTATTTCCTCTGGAAGGTCTTCTGCCACATTTGCTGCCACATTTACTGCCACATTTGCTGCCACATATGGTGTAAAAAGCCTGTAGCATCTCAAATGCCCTTCTCAGCTTCTTAGCTAGCCCTTCCTTGGATACAGAAAAAACACATAGCTCATTTGACAAAATTAAACAGTTCCTTACATGTATCATTTGAACTGCACATGCTGCACTTCTTACATGAGATCAAAAAGTAAAAACAAAAAACAAAACAAAAAACTGTTCAGTGTGTGAGCTAGCTCGCCAGCCACAAAAAACCCTCTGTTGCCATGGGAATGTATGTAAATAAGAACAGTCCTTTAGTATACTGTATACTCTAAAAATAATGTAATATCAGAAATCCCAGATGTAACTTAATGTACTTGCAAGTGAGTTATGGTTGTGTGAAAAGAAAGATTTATTTTTATTTATTAATTTTCATTTACCATAGTCATTAGTTACCATGGTGATACAATGCGCACATTAGCAAACACTGCCAAGAAGTTTTAAGATAATCTGAAAACTCAAGATCAGTAATCAATATAATTGTATATGGACCTGTTTAGATAGAACAAAAAGGTGAGAGTCACAAACTAACTAGTTAATTGAGTTGACTTTGACTGAGACACAAATGCAACTGAGATTTGCAGTGTAAATGTTGTAGCAACAGCAACTCCCAACAGTTTGCTGCAACAAAATTTGAATTTCCCTTGGCATCAATAAAGTATTTCTCTCTCTCTCTAAAAAACTTTTGACTAAGTTAATGCGAGCTAGCTTCTGACTGTAATCTTATCTGAAATGGACTTATTTAACAGCACAAATCAGCTCACTTGTTGCAGTTCCAACTAATTTAGTTCTTTATGGTCAGGTTATGTAAAAAAAAAAAAAGGTCAGATTAAAGTCTTTGGTAACAGGGCTTCAGATAGGGCAGTGCCAATAATGGGTTTAAGATACGGTAGCCACCTACCATCATAACAGTGAAGCAATTCAAATCAAAATATAATATTTATGAATGGGGAAAGATCCGTTATGGGTCCTCACAACGTTCTTCAAATCAGTAAGGAATTCGTTTGTCTGAAAAGTCGTCCTCAGAGGTCAAATTTTACAGGTTTTGACTTGTACATCACAGGACTCCTTAAAAGTTCAGCATTTCCACTATTTAACAGTTCACATGTGCTGCCAAGTCTAAAAAATATACTTTTTAAAACCAAAATTGTACCAAAAACACATCTAGTTTTCTTTTACTTTCCACTGATGCATCTGGGTGGCACCATTTTTCCCAAAACAACAGCCACTATGGGTTTGTGTTTATGCTCACAAATGTTGATTTTTGGCAATATATTTTTTAACAGTCAGGTTAAGGTTTGGATCAGGGTCAGGTTTAGAAACAGGTACATTTAGGGTTTTGAGCAGCATCCAAATACCTACACTTTCGTAATGATTGACTTCCAGGATTTTGTGAATTCTCCAGATGAGTCCCCTTCTTGTGTAAGTACCTGACAACACACCACCTGCGTCACCACCACGAGGAACTTCCCCAGTGTGCTACAAATCAGATGAACACCAATGCACTCGGGATCACCAGCACCATCAACTAGAGCCCGACCGATATGGATTTTGTTGTGGCCGATATGAAACCGATATAATGGGAGTTGGAGCTGCCGATAGCCGATATAATCACCGATATATTTAGTGATGTAAAAATTCACTGTAAATCTTGAATTGTTTAAAAAACTTAGGTTTGGCTCTAGTGGCTTCTAAATTGGGTTTATTTAGGCAACATTTATTGTTATTCTGACTCTTTACATCATATTTACAGACAGTAGATTGGCCTAATGGCATTTTTGCATCACATTCTAGCTGCTAGTGATGGGTATTCCAGGTTTTTTTTTTGGCTCGGCTCACTAAAGCAGCTAAGGGAGCTCTTTCAGCTCCCAAGCGACTCTTGAGCATGGATCTATTAAAATAACGCTCTTGAGATTGTTTTGTTGCAAGTGTAAGCGACATTTCTATTTCCTGTCTCACTCCTGACTTTTAGTGTGAAAACGGAAGTGAGCTCAGGCGGGTCTGAAAAGTTGTACTGTACCGTGTGTTGATGAGACGGAGCTGCGGAGAAAAATAAAGTAATCTTCTTCATATTGGCCTCCATCTTCTATGCACTCAAGACCCTCGGTTACACAAGCAGGACTAAGCCAGAACTGAACCAGGACTGAAAAAGGACTAAACCAGGACTAAAACAGATTTAAACCATGTGTAAAACAGGACTAAACCAGAACTGAACCAGGACTGAGTGTCGGGACTCGGTTTCTATCTCTCTCCTTCACTCGAGGCCAAGATTAGTCCTGGTTTATTCATTTTATGCTGAACTGCAGCCAAATATGCACTTTTTTTTATCCTGTGCACACGCATAGTTCTGAAAGTTTCATTTTCAGCCGCTGCTGCTGTCAAACTACGGGTCTACATGCGGCTTGAAGAGAAGTGAGAAAAAGAGAAAACACGGCTCCCAATAAGAAGCATACTCCCGTTGTTCGCTTCAAAGAGTCGGCTCTAAGAGCCGCTTCGATCGCGACCGACCCATAACTCCTAGCTAGTAAAGAAGCTACCGTTATAAGCCTTTAGCCGTAAAAACGTGCACGCCGCGATAAATTAATTATATGCATAAATGTGGATCATTCACACGTCTATTCACAGCTCATTTACATATCAATGCTGGTCCAGTAACATGTATACGGCCAATGTAGTCACTTTACAATAGGCCAATATAAAACAGCCTGTTTATGTGCGGGAGCTACAGCAGCTAATCGCTAACAAATAAC